GAGAGACAGAGAGAGAGGGAGACATAGAATCTGAAGCAGGCTCCAGGCTCTGAGCTGTCGGTATAGAGGCAGACATGGGGCTCAAACTCATGAACCTGAGCTGAAGTCAGACGCTTAACCAACTGAGTCACACAGGAGCCCCTATTTATTTTTTTTAGAGAGAGAGAGTGGGGGAGAGGGGCAGAAGGAGAGAGAGAGAGAGAGAGAGAGAGAGAGAGAGAGAGAGAGAGAGACCCAAATGGACTCCATGCTCAGCGCACCTGATGTGGGGCTTGATTCCAGGACCCTGGGGTCATGACTCGACCTGAAATTGAGTCAGATGCTCAACCAACTGAGCCACCTAGGTGCCTCAGGTTTATTTTAGGTTTCTTATTTCCTACAAAGTATTCAGCTGTTGAGAATATTTTAGTCACAGCAGAAGTGTCTCATTCCTTGGTAGAGGCATAAAGTCCTTTAGAGTAAAAACCAATGAAAGACAGTATCTTGAAAACAGACTGTCATTATACTCTAAATCTCTGGGAAAATAGATTTTAAAGGTGCTTAGCACTTCACTTCCCCCTGAAAGCTAAGTGGGGGCAAGGAATGGGGGAGTGTGAATCTCCTTCTCCTTTTACTTTTTCCTGCAGGAAGAAGCGAGAGACCATTCTGTCTAAGAGAGGGGGAAAGGGAAAGGAGAGACAGGAGAGGCAGTGAGAAGGAGAGAGTCTGGGGGAGGTAGAGTTTAGCACAAGGCACCCTCATGTACACATCCCTATATGGGACAGATACTGGCACCCTGCTGTGCCACTCAAAGTGATTCCTATCAGTCGGATTCCCACCTGTAATCATTCTGTGAAGGGTGCTTTATCTCTGATTCACAGAGGAAGAATAGAAGTCCAAGGATGTGGAGTGACTTTGCTGAAGTTACATAGTAAGTTGGTGCTGGAACCTGGACAAGACTCAAACCTTCTTATCCCTAGTTCAATTTTCTGGATGGAAAAGGAAGTTGTAACCCCTTCTTCCTTTCAGCTCCTGTTCTGTTTCCAAAAGTGGAAGGGGACAAACCCTTCCCAATCTACTCCCCTGGCACCACCTGAGATAGGAGATGGAGGGAAAGGCTGGCCCTGGCACCTCTCATTAGTTCCCACTTGCATCGCCTGTTGTTCACCTGCAAGCATAGAAAGGGCTGTGGCTGAACTCTCTCTCAGTGAGATAGTTTATTGTAACCCCCAGTGTCTTCCCAGAAAACCCCAAATCTTCTCGTCTCTCATTTCATCTCTCACAATCAATCCCTTCTATTCACTTGAGACCCTGTATATGATGTTTTCTTATTATGAACTCTAATAATCCCAGTAACAAACTCTGCCGCAATGGCAACAGAAACAGCAGGCCTGCCCACAGATCCCAGTGTACTACAGGCCCTCTGGAAATGGGACTGCATATAATCTGGGCCCTTGAGCTCAGCAGACTTTGAGTCCCTCAGTGCATGTCTAACTTTACCAGTGTTGAACCCCCTTTAGGATGCTTCCTTCAGGATGCTTCTTTTTCCCTGCCAGAAATGAGAGGTTTTGTGTTTCCATATGACTAGCATTTCTCTGTTTCTCTCTGTGGGCATTCCTTTGACCATTGATACTCTCATACTCCTGCTCTTAGCTCAGGGGCTCCATGTCAGTAAAAATGAAAGCCCAGCCCCTTATGGTGAGCTTTCTTTGGGTGAAGAGCAACCAGACACAGTGAAGCTTGAGAACAGACCTCCCCTAGTTGGGAGGGACAGATTTGTAATAGACCAGCTTCACGTCTGAGAATCACCCCAGTCCCTTCTCCTAAAGGTCTCTTTCCTGATGAAGATCACCTGAGGATGATACCCACCTTGGATGGTTGTTGAGAAGATGAAATGGAAGGCAAATACCAAGTATCTGGAGTTCTTTATGACACATAGCAGATGATCAGTAAGTGTGAGCTCATTGCCACCTGTCTTTTTGCTTTTGAGTCCCAGATCCTGTAGAGCCAGGCAGGCGGGAAGATTGCCAAGGGAGCCCAGAGCTGGTCCCTTACCCCTTTCCTGGGCTCCTCTCCCAAAAAGCCCTGTCTCGACTATACCCACAGCACTGACTGGGAAGAGGGGAGTGACAGAGTACATCCCAGGTCTGAGTTGGGGATCTCAGGGATGGGATAAGGGTGGGGACAGGTATTTCCTAGGGAAGGTGCTGAGGGCTTTATATTTATATGTCTATATTTATTAAACATGTTTTCTTGAATAATTTAGTAATTTCCTAGAAACGTTTACATGTTGGAAGTTGTTTTACATGAATATTGTGGGTATGACCCTACTTTGGCCTCCTTGCTATCCTAAGGAGGTGGTTGAAGGTTCTCTGGCCCACTGCTCTGAAAGCCAGCCCAAACACATGCTACCTTCTCATTATTTCTTTTCTTGGACCTGTATTGTTGCAAGAGAATTGTTCAAAGTTTTACCAATAGCATTAATGTGTGAGAGACATTGCTGTGTCTTTCAACACTTCTCTGATCATTATATTGTTTATTTTTGTCCTAATGATGATTGGAATAGTTCCTTCAGGTTAAAAAGTGAGAAAAAATGTTGAAGAGAGAAAACAAGCTTAAGAATGTTTTGAGATTCTAATCTGAATATTGTCAAGGACTATTTAGTGTTCTCATTACAGAAAATTGACATTTATTCAAGTTCTTTTTTTAAAATTTTTTAATGTTAATTATTTTTGAGAGAAAGACAGAGCACGAGTGGGGGAGGAGAATACAGAGAGGGAGACATAGAATCTGAAGCAGATCCCAGGCTCCGAGCTGTCAGCACAGAGCCCAACACGGGGCCTGAACCCACAAGCCGCAAGATCATGACCTGAGCCAAAGCCAGACACTCAACCTACTAAGCCATCCAGGCACCCATTTTTTTTAATTTTGTTGATATTTTATTTTTGAGAGAGAGGGAGAGAGAACAATTGTGAGCAGGGGAGGGGCAGAGAGGGAGGGGGGCACAGAATCCAAAGCAGGCTCCAGGCTCTGAGCTGTCAGCACAGAGCACAACAGGGGTTTGAACTCACAAGCCATGAGATCATGACCTGAGCCAAAGTCTGACGCTCAACCGATTGAGCCACCCAGGCACCCCTCAAATTCTTCTTAATGTCAGGACTAAAACTTTATGTTTGTGTTCTCATAGATCATACTAACTTTTTAATGACTCTATTTATTTTTTTCCCCTAGTGAATAAGATCTAATTTGAAAAATCTATTTATCATTGTCATAAATAATTGATGCCATAAAATATTTACCCAAGATATGCTGTTAAAAAGAAAACCACAGGCCCAAAGTGGAGTCATTTATGCCAGACCACTGGGGCTTAAATCCTAACCTAATTGCAGTTTCAACTTCCCCCAGAAATGTAGTCTTAGCCAGTCAGTCAGGACTTTTCTGGTCAGCAACAGTAAGGTAATCTGTCACATAGGCCCTCTCTATTCCCCAAAAGAAGATGAGGTAATCCACCCAATAAGACTCTTTTGTTCCCAAAGGAAGGTACCTCACCCAAAATAATTTTTTTTTTCTGTTTATGACTTTGTTGTTCTGCCTTTAATAACATTTCATTTTCTGTAGCCCTTTGGAATTCCCCTCTATTTGCTAGATGGGGTGCTGTCTGATTCATGAATCAATTAATGAATCAATTTTACATCTTTAAAATGTAGTTGGTTGAATTTTTGTTATTTAACACCCAAAATATTCTAAGTAGGTGTAACTTAGTAAAAACAAAGTTCCTATAATATAATGACCATATGTCCCTAATTCGGTAATGAGAGAATGCTCACATGATTTAAGTAGCGTCATCTCTGGGATGTGAATAATTTGCATGATAACCATTTTATTATTTTGGGTTGTGTATATTTGTATGTATTATGTACTTTTGAAAAATTTATTTGCTTTTTTTCCTTTCTTTCCTGAGTAAGCCCTGCAGATTACAGATACCATTCTTTTGTATGTTAAAGATAAAGCTATTAAACAACAGATTTTAGTAATATCCAATTGCGACAGGGAATAGATTCCAGCGTGAACTGAACTCAACTTCAGTTTGTACAGAGGTGACTGGGAGTTTTAAAGGAAGAAGGAGGGAACAGAAAGGGGGCGAGTTGGAGCTCAGTAGAATGAGGGAAGTGAAAAATTACAAAAAGCAGAAGGAAGAATTGGTCCATTTGAAATCTACCTGGATTTGCTAACTGGCACTTGTTGAAATTAGGCTCTTACCCTCCTACAGAGACTGAGAGACAGGGGTCCTTCAGGTGTTGGCTGGAACAAATTCTTTTGGCAGCCTTGAGTTTTTCAGGCAGGCCCTCTAAAAACACTCTTAGTATCATCCTAAGTATGTGACCTTGAGCTGTTAGAGACTTAGAATTTTTTCAAGTATTTATAGGGCAAAGTTGATAGACCTAGTTGAAAAGAAGGCATAAAGGAGCCTAACTGGAATTTGGGGTAAAGGAGAAAATCTTTTAAATTTAGTACTACTGTGCTTCATTTTAAATTATTTTACTTAAGTTTCACAGCCTTATTCCCAAGAGATACCTCTACAAGTCTAAATTCTCTTGGCAGCTTTAAATATTATTTTATTATTTTATTTTTATTAAAATTAAAAAAAATATTTTTGAGAGAGACAGCTCGTTTTCCTATGTGATCTCAATTGTTTTTACACCTAAGAGCAACCCAGTGCCTATTCAGATTTCCTCGACACTCTCCAAAGCCTTTAGCAGCTGTTGTTTATTTAATCGGGATTTGATCGAGGACCACGTATTGTATTTGGCGGTAAACTTCAAGTTTAAGCCCTAACGTTTGGCGATTCTGAGAAAACCTGGGAAGGAGAGATCGTCAAGATCACATCTTTCAACTGTTCAGATAGAGGATACGCGCCAGGTCACTTCAAGGCGCGGGAGCGGAGCTTTACGGGAAATGTAGTCTGGTGGTATGGACCTGGCTCGTCGCGCAGCATCCTGGGAACCGGTCCGGGCTCCGTCTGCGCATGTACTTACCTTATCCCACCTCTTTGCGTTAGTGCTTTCCGCGGTCAGGTGGTCAGGTGGCGCGCTTGCCTGGGTTCCAACCTCAAGTGAGAGCATGGGGCTGGTGCGAAATCTGGGAGGCTTTGGGACCAGCATGGAGGAAGGGGCTTGTGGCCGGGGAGAAAGGAATAGAAGCCTCGGGAATTCCCCAGGCCGGATTCTAAATGCTTGAGCCATCAAAGACCTCTGGGGGACCCCTGGGGCACAGGTGGGGCTGAATCACGCCAGAAGCAGGTGAGGGGTTGGGTATGCAGAGACCCTCAATTCGAGAAAAGCCCTTGGCGGCGGGAAGGGAAAACTTGTTTATAATTCCCACCGTGAGCCCGAAAGCGCGGAAGAGCTTTCTGCGGTGAGAACCCGATTTCTGGAGCTAGAAAGACCCGGGGTAAATTCCAGTTCTGTTACCCTTGTAGGCAGGGGCGGCTGAAGGAACCAGAGTAAGAGTCCGGTTTCTCTTCTGAAAATAATGTTTGTTATGCGAGTTAGAGAAGTTATTACCTGTAAAGCAAATAGCCAACTCAGAAGTGGCAACTGCTATTCTATTCGGAAGACACACTTCTATTCACTGGGTGGCTTATGTAAACATCACAACCATTTTATGAGGTTGGCTAACTATCCACATTTAAAAAAGAAAAGGAAGCAAACGAGGCTGAGGTTGGCAGAGCCATGTGCTCAGGTTACAAGCTAGCTGTGAGGAAGCTCTGATTTAAGGGCATGTGTGCTTTAAATCTCAGGCCTCGTCTAAATATCACACCTGCCTAAAACCACCAATACAGCCTTCACAGCACCTAGCAGAGTGACCTGTCCCTGAACACCCAGGGATAAAATTGAAGGAGAATGTGAATGGACTTAGAACATTGTCATATGTAGTCTGGAATTTCTGGTACCTCATCAGAATCCTTGGTTCAGATAGAGGCTCCTAGCTTTTCCTGCAGTGGCAGATTGTCTGAAATCACAGTGAATTCCAAGAGTCAAGTTTGTAGCCCTAAAGTGAATTTGTTTCCCTGACCCAGGTCCCAGATCTTGGGAAACAAATTTATTTTAGAACAAAGCAGCTCTTGTGATGTTCGAATTGAGGTCTCCAGGAACAGCATCCCTGTTCTTATCCTCCTCGCTAGACCTTCAGAGCAGAAGCAAAAAACAGAGCTGTCAGAAGTAGTTCTTGATCCTCCCTGCTCAGATTTGGAGATGTTGCCACATCCAGAAGCCACCACACTGTGTGATGGTGGGGGATCTGGGCCACCTTTGAGAAGAGGGAGCTGGGGTGGCCCAGAAGTATGTTGCCCAGGAACTTGCACTTGTGAGGGTGAGATCTGGGGGTAAGGGGTAACCAGCCAGAGGGTGGAAATTGTGTTCTGTTGTCAAAACTTAAAAATAGCCAGTTATTTTACCAGCAAATTGAGTTTATTTGGGAATAGCAGAGGAATTGCAATGGGGGACAAGCAAACTATGGCAAACCATAGGCAAGTCCAAAGAGACAAAGGGAAGGTAAACTTTCACTAGGTTTTGGGAGGAAAATGGGGAGGATTTGGAATAAAAGTCCATTGGAAAAGAACAAGAGTTTGCGGTTGTGGCGTTTACTGGCTGCAAGCAGTGGTCAGTACCTATTTGCTGGGTTGGGGAGGGATCTTCCGTCTTTTTCTTAAAAGTAGGAAATCGAATTCCTGTGTGCAAAGTAAGATGATTCTTAACCTTGTTCCTGCAGGACAAGGAGCATGTGTGAGAGCTCCCCATTCAGGGCTTCCTGACTCCCATTTTAAATGAGGTTTCCTGCGTTTGTTTTGATACCACTCCTGCTAAATGGCTGTCATTCCCTTCATTCTTCACTGTTTACGGATGCTGCACTGCTCTCATACGTGTCCTTCAGAAGTGACCATCGCCACAAGTAATGACTTATTGACTTATCTTGAACTCATAGAATCCTAAAATAAGGACTAATGAAGGCTTTCCTTGGTTATCTGCTACAGACTCTTAGAAGCTGTAAAGAAATTGGATGTTAGTGGTGACTTGTCAGGTGACACCTATTTTGTGGCAGAGCCAGGAGGAAAACACAGTGCAGTTCACTTTCTCACTGGTAAGTCATCAAAAGCATCTTATGAAAAGGACCCTTTGAGAAACTGTAACCCAGTGAAAGTTAATGAAAAATTCTTGCCTTAAAGCATTCCATAGTCCTTTTATTGGGCTTTCTGTGGATTTTCTCTTTTAAGAGCTAAGCAATGTTACTAGGAAAATAGTTAAGTGATACAGCCTGAATATTTTGTTAATTTTAATGAAGGAGCAATGCCTTATCCTTCATGTACCTTATGCATTAAATGAATACTAGTTCTTGCTTGTGTTGTTTCTGTTAATCATTCAGAAAAAAAAAAAAAACAAAAAACCCACTAAGTTATCATTTAACCGCAGAAAAATTTGTTTAGCCAGTGAAAAGCTGTAGGTCTTAGGCCACATGACGTTTTCTGAGTCGTACATGGACATGTGTCTCTGCGCGTTCCTCCCCAGGCCTCCCAGCTGAGTCTGCACAGCCCTCTGCACTTTCCCAAGAGCAGCAGCATGAACGCATCTCAGGTGAGCTCTTTCTCCTTTCTTTCTCCACATTGCACTGTATTGATTTTATTTTATTTACTTATTTATTTATTAAAAATTTTTTATGTTTATTTATTTTTCAGATGGAAACAGAGCATGAATGGGGGAGGGGCAGAGAGAGAGACACACACACAGAATCTGAAACAGGCTCCAGGCTCTGAGCTGTCAGCACAGAGCCCGACGTGGGGCTCGAACCCACCAACCGTGAGATCATGACCCGAGATGAAGTCAGACGCTTAACCTACTGAGTCACCCAGGTGCCCCGGCACTGTATTGATTTTAATGGGGCTTATAAGGGTCTGTACATTAGATGGAAAAAGAGAAATAGGGATAAAGCTAGTTTTGGGAGAAAATACACAGTTTCAATATTAGCTCTTAATGTTTTTTGTTGGTTCTGGGTAGGTAACCTTTGTTGATGATTATATTCCCTCAGTTACCAGTTGGGTTAGATTTCAGTTGAGTCATGAATGTGCTTTGAATTATATTGAGAACTTTTTCTATATCTATTGAAATAAAGACATAGCTTGTTTCCTTTAATCTGTAAGTATTGTGAATAGCATTATGAATTTTTAAATATTGTCGATTTCCTGTACACACCCTTGCTGGTGAATTGCTTGTATACATGTTGGCTGTGATCTTTCTGCTGGTACTTATTTCTGTATCGTAATTTAGGTGAGCCTAATTTTTCATGTGTTCCTATCCAATTTTGGTGTTGTGGTTATATTAGCCTATAAGTATAGGACACATTTTTACTTATTTTTTTTCTTGGGCTAATGTTTTTCCCCCTGTATTTTATATGAGAAAAATTGCCTGTTATTGGTGGGGGGATTTTTATGTGAAGATTTTGAATATCAAATCAGTTTATTAAATGATCATAAGTCTCCTGTGTCTCTTACCATGTGTCTTTCAAAGAGCAGAAGTGTTTTAATCAACTTTTCAAAATCTTTAATCTTTTTGCTTTTATTATTTATGCTTTTTTTTGGTCTTGGTCATATGTAAAAAATCTTTTCCTAAGCCAAAGTCACAAAGATTTCCTCTCCGGTTTCTAGAAGTTTTATAGGTCTATGATCATTTTGAATTCATTTTTTCTTATGGCACAAGGGATAGGCCAAGATTATTTATTTAGTTTTGTTTACATATGTCTGACATTTGTTGCAAATGTCATTTGCGTTGTTGTTGTTGTTGTTGTTGTTGCAAATGTTGTTTACGTATGTCTAACATTTGTTGCAAAGAATACTCCTTCTCCACTGAATTCCTTTGGCACCTCTTTTGGGAATTATTTGACTTTATATTCTTTGTGGTTCTGTTTCTGGAATCCGTATTCTCTTCTTATCTGTGTTAGTCCTTTTGCTAACATCATACTGCCTAGATTACTGTTGTTTCAAGAGAAGTTTTTTGTTTTTTTTTTTAATTTTTCAATGTTTATTTTTGAGAGAGAGACACACACAGTGTGAGCAGGGGAGGGGCAAAAAGAGAGAGAGAAACAGAATCTGAAGCAGGCTCAGGCTCTGAGCTGTCAGCACAGAGCCTGACACAGGGCTCAAACTCATGAACCATGAGATCATGAATCATGAGACCTGAGCTGAAGTTGGATGCTTAACCAACTGAACCACCCAGGCACCCTTAAGATAAGTCTTGAAATCAGTAATGTGAATCCCCCAAACTTTTTTCATAATTGATTGGATATTGGATATTCTAAGTCCCCCTTTACCTCTTCATATAAGTTTTAGAATCTGGCTTCTTTCTGTCTTCAGAATTTGCTCTGATTATGTGTGTGATTGCAGTGATTATATACATCAGTTTTAGACCTCCCTTTTGTGTTTCAAAATCATGTAACCAACAATGCAGTGTAAAATTCCATCTGTGTATTATTCACATATATATATATGTGTATATATATGTATATATATGTGTATATATACATATATATATATATATATATATATATGTATTAAATTTACATCCAAGCTAGCATATAGTGCAACAATGATTTCAGGAGTAGATTCCTTAATGCCCCTTACGCATTTAGCCCATCCCCTCCCACAACCCCTCCAGTAACCCTCTGTTCGCTGTATTTAAGAGTGTCTTAAGTTTAATGTTTACTTATTTTTGAGAGAGACAGAGACAGAATGCAAGTGTGGGTTAGGGGCAGAGAGAGAGGGAGACACAGAATCCGAAGCAGGCTCCAGGCTCTCAGCTGTCAGCACAGAGCCCGACCCAGGGCTCGAACCCACAAGTTGTGAGACCATGACCTGAGCCGAAGTCGGACACTCAATAGACTGAGCCACCCAGGTGCCCCTAGAGTCTTTTATGTTTTGTAACCTTCCCTGTTTTTATATTATTTTCACTTCCCTTCCCTTATGTTCATCTGTTTTGTATCTTAAAGTCCTCATATAGTGAGGTCATATGATATTTGTCTTTCTTTGCCTAATTTTGCTTAGCATAATTCTAGTGTAAGATAATGATAGGGCCATAATAGGCATACTTTATAAAATTTTGTTTTAAATTCTCAACAGTAAACATAATACGTATTAGTTTTCCAAGGCATTTTCCATATTACCGGTTTTTGAGCCCCTCAGATTGAATAGAAAGTGTGTTATTACAGGTATCAGTGTCATTCAAGGACGTGACTGTGGAGGTCACCCAGGAGGAGTGGCACCAGATGGACCCTGCTCAAAGAACCCTATACAGAGATGTGATGCTGGAGAACTACAGCCACCTGGTCTCATTGGGTGAGCAGAACTTACCATGTGATTTCCTCAAGAATGCAATTCCGTTTTCTTCTTCCTTTTTAATTTTTAAATTGTATTGGGGTATAATTAACAGAGTTAAAGTCAGTAACTTTAAGTGTATAATTGTGAGTTTTAGAGATGCCTGTAGGTGATTACTACCACCAAATAATGATAAAATATTGCTGTTACTCCAAAAAGTTTCCTTGTAGGTATTTGTAGTCATTTTTTCCTGATCCCTCTCCCTGGCTCTGTCAACCAGTGATCTACTTTCTATCGCAATAGTTTTTCCCTGTTAGAATTTTAAATACATCATATAGTATTTACTTTTTTCTTCTTTCATGTAGATTTTGGGATTTATACATGTTTTTGTACGTATCATTTTTTATTCCTAACTAGTATGCCTTTGCATGCATCTACCACAGTTTATCTTCCATGTATATCCCAGTTGATAGAATAGAGGTTTTTTCCTTTTGGGCTGTTAGGAATAAAGTTGCTCTGTCCATTTAGGTATGAGTCTTTGTGTAGACATTTGTTTTCATTTCTCCTGTGTGAATACCCAGAAGTATGGTACTATTGGTCTTAGAGTAACTTCATAAGAAACTGCCAGATATTTCTAGTGTGACTGTGCCAGTTGGCATACCCTTTAAGGGTGTATGTATCATAGTTCTAGTTGCTCCACACCCTCACCAACATTTGGTATTGTAAGTTTTTTTTTTTTTTTTTTATTTAAGATTCTAGTGGGTGTCTTTGTATCTTACTGGGTTTTCATTTGTATTTTTCTGATAATTAATGAAGTTGAACATCTTTTAATGGGCTTTGTGGCTATTCATATATTTTCCTTTTTCAGGTCTGTTTAAATCTTTAGCCCATTCTTTAAAACTTAGGGTGTTTCTTTTTTTCTTTTTGGTCTTAACTGAGGTGGAAGAATTCTTCATGTAATCTAGATATAAGACCATTATCAGATAAATACTTTGTTAACGTTTTCTACCTATCGTATGCTTTTTCTAATTTTTTTTAATAGTGTCTTGGAAGAGCAGAGTTTTTCATTAGTTTTTAAATGTATCATTGGTTTTTCTTTTATATTTTATGGTTTTTGTATCTTTTTAAAGAAAGTTTTACCTAATCTAAGGTCAGTAAAATTTCCTCCTGTGTTTTCTTGTTTCCTCCTATGTTTTCTTCCTCCTATGTTTTCTTTACTTTCTCCATATGATGTGAAATAAGAGTTGTGGTTCATTTTTTGCATTTCTATGTCTAGTTATGTTGACACCATTTTCTGGAAGATTACTTTTCCATTGAACTGCCTTGGCACCTTTGTCAAAGACAAATTGACCACATTTCTGTAGTTCTAGATCTGGAGTCTGTTCTGTTTAATGGGTCTGTTTGAATATAACACACCTTGATTATGTAGCTTTGTGAAAACTTACCAAATATTGAATATTTAGTTCTCCAAATATGTTTTTCATTTCAAAATTATTTGGATTATTGTACATTCTTTGTTGTTTCCATGTAAATTGTATTTTTCTTAAGTTTATTTATTTTGGGGGGAGAGCAGGGGGAGAGGCAGAGTAGGTGGAGGTGGGGAGAAGAGAGAAAGAATGAATCCCAAGCAAGCTCCACGCTGTCAGTGCAGAGCCCAACAAGGGGCTTGATCCCAGGAACTGTGAGATTATGACCTGAGCTGAAATCAAGAGTCAGATGCTTAACCAACTAAGGCACCCAGGCACCCCTCCATATAAATTTTAGAATTTCCTGTCCATTTTTTCTAAAACTTTGCTTAAAATTCTGGTTGAGATAGTCTTGGGTCTTTAGGATAGTCTGGGAAGGATTTATATTTTAACAATATGGAGTCTTTAGGAGCGCCTGGGTGGCCCAGTAGGTTAAGTGTCTGGCTCTTGATTTCAGCTCAGGTCATGATTTCATGGTTCGTGGGACTGAGCCCTGCATCGGGTTCTTCACTGACAGCATGGAGCCTACTTGGGTTTTTCTCTCTCTGCCCCTTCCCCACTTTCTCGCTCTGTCAAAATAAATAAACATTTAAAAAAATTCTATAAAAAAAGACATAAAACAATATTGAGTTTTCTGATACCGTGGGTTCAGTTCCAGACCATTGAAACAAAGTGAGTATTGAAATAATTTGAGTCCAAATAATTAGATTGATTTTTTTCTTTTTCTTTTTTTTTTTTATTTTATTATTTTTTTTTTTTAAATTTTTTTTCAACGTTTTTTATTTTATTTTTGGGACAGAGAGAGACAGAGCATGAACGGGGGAGGGGCAGAGAGAGAGGGAGACACAGAATCGGAAACAGGCTCCAGGCTCCGAGCCATCAGCCCAGAGCCTGACGCGGGGCTGGAACTCACGGACCGCGAGATCGTGACCTGGCTGAAGTCGGACGCTTAACCGACTGCGCCACCCAGGCGCCCCTAGATTGATTTTTTTCAAATTCAGAATGAATTTTTTGGTTTCCCAGTGCATATAAAAGTTTATGTTCACATTATGCTATAATTTATTAAGTGTGCAGTAGCATTAGGTCCAAAAACAATGCACCTACTTTTATTAAAAAATACTTAATTGCTAAAAATCACTAGCCATCATCTGAGCTTTTTGCCTGTGGTGAGTCTTGCCTTGATATCGATGGCTGTTGACTGGTCAGGGTGATTGGTAGTGAAGGTGGGGGTGGCTGTGGCAATTTCTTAAAATAATGCAACAATGAAGTTTGCCACATTGATTGATTCTTCCTTTCATGAATGATTCCCTGTAGCATGTGATGCTGTCTGATAGCATTTTTACCCATCATAGAACTTTTTTCAAAATTAGAGTCCATCCTCTCAAACCCTGCTGCTGCTTATCAACAAAGTTTATGTAATATTCTAATTTTTTTTCATGCTAACAATTTTCACAGTATCTTCACTGGGAATAGATTCCATCTCAAGAAACCACTGTCTTTGCTAATCCATAAGAAGCAATTCCTCATTGTTCAAACAATTCAGTCACATCTTCAGGCTCCACTTCTAATCCCAGTTCTCTTGCTGTTTCTACCACATATGCAGTGACTTCCTCCACTGAAGTCCTGAACCCCGCAAAGTCATCCATAAGAGTTGGAATGAAATTCTTCCAGACACTTCTGCTAGCTTCAAATTTTTATTCTGCCACTTCCTTACCTTTTTCAGGTTTCATAGAATTGAAGAGAGTTAGGGCTTTGCCCTTGATTAAGCTTTGGCTTAAAGGAATGTTGTACCTGATTTGATGATCTATCCAGACCACTCAAACTTTTTCCATATCAGCAATAAGGTGGTTTCACTTTCTTATCATTCATTTTGTTTGCTGGAGTCTCACTTTTCATTTCTTTCAAAAACTTTCCCTCTGCATTTGTAACTTGGCCAACTGTTGGGCACAAAAGGCCCAGCTTTCAGCTTATCTCAGCTTTTGATTTGCCTTCCCCACTAAGTTTAATCTTTCCTTGCTTTTGATTTAAAATGAGAGATGTGCAACTCCTCCCTTTACTTGAGCACTTAGAAGCCATTGTAGAGTTATTAATTGGCCTAATTTTAATATTGTTGTGTCTCAGGGAATAAGGAGGCCTGAAGAGAGAGAAAGAGATGGGGAATGGCCAGGTAGTAGAGCAGTCACAATGCACATTTATGGGATAAGTTCTCCATTTTACATGGTTGTGGTGCTCCCAAACAATTAGAATAGTAACATCAAAGATCATTGATCACACAATCGCAGTTACAAATATAATAATAATGAATGAAAAAATTTGAAATATTGTGAGAATTACCAAAGTGTGACACAGAGACGTGGAGTGAGCAAATGCTATTGAAAAAAATTGTGTCAATAGAGTTGCCTGATGCAGGGTTGCCACAGATCTTCAATTTGTAAAAATTTCAGTATCTGCAAAGCATAATAAACGAGGTATGCCTGTATCTTTCCCTTTATTTACGCCTTTAATTTTTTTTGGAGTGACAGCTTTCATTGTACTTGTTTTCTGCATATTTGGTAGATGGGTTTCATGATTTTGATGATGATATAAATGGCATTTATTTTATAATTTGGTTTTCCAGTTGTTGGATGTAAATAGAAATCCAGTTGCTTTATGTATATTTACATTGTGTGTTGTAACTTTGCTAATCTTATTTATTCCAGTAGATTTTTTGGAGATTCCCAAGGATGTTTTACATACACAATTATGTTATCTGTGAAAAAGGATAAGTTCATTTTGAAACTGTATGCCTTTTATTTCTTTTTCTTTAATAACTATGGGATTACCAGATATACCATTAAATACAAGTGGTGAGAGAAGATATTCATGTCTTGTTTCTAATCTTAGAGGTAAAGAATTCATTCTTCATTGTGGCATAATTAACTGTTTTTTTTATAGCTGTGCTTTATCAGTTTAAGGAAGTTCTGTAGTCTGCTGGAATTTTCTAAAAGATTTGTTTTAATCATTGTGGAATTTGTCTAATATTCTTTCTTTATCTATTAGAATAATCACATGAGTTTTCTTTTTTTATCCAGGTAGTATTCTGAATTACATAAATTTTGGAACGTTCAACCAACCTTGAATTCCTAGGATGAATCCCACTTGTTCATAACTTTTTATAGGTTTTCTGCACCAATATATTGAAATTTTTAAAAAATTGTAGTTCCATATAGTTACAGTTACGTTAGTTTCCAGTGTACAATATACTGATTCAGCAATTCCATGAATTATCCATTGCTCGTCATTACAGATGAACTTCTTAATCCCCTTCACCTTTTTCACCCATATACCTACCGACCTCCCTTCTGGTAACCATCAGTTTGTTCTCTACAGTTAAGGGTAGTTTGTCTTGGTTTGTCTCTTTTTTTTGTTTTGTTTTTTAAATTCTGCATATGAGCGAAATCATGTGGTGTTTGTCTTTCTTTGACTTATTTTGCTTCACGTTATACACTAACTCCATCCATGTCATTGTAAATGGCAAGATTTCATTTTTTTTAAGCCTGATTAATATTGCATCAT